TACATGTTTATGCATATATGTATAGGTATATGTATATTTAAATGTATGTGTATACGTAACTGTATATGTATATGTATATGTACATGTCTATGACTGTGTCTATGTTTATGTATATGTATATGTATATGTACATGTACATGTATGTGTACATGTACATGTATATGTATATATATGTATATATATGTATATGTGTATGAGTTTGCTTATGCATATCCATATGTATTTGCACCAATATATGTATATGTATATGTACATGCATATGCATATTTATATGTATATGTATATGTCTATGTCTATGTATATGTATATGTATGTGTATATGTATACGTAAATGTGCATGCCTGTGTATATGTCCATGTTTGTGTATATGCCTATGTCTATGTCTGTGTCTATGTCTATGTCTATGTCTATGTCTATGTATATGTATTTGTGTATGTGCATGTGCATGCACACGTACATGTATATGGACATGTGGATGCATGTACATATATATATATATGTGTATATATATATATGTATGTACATGTATATGTATATATATGGACATGTACATGTGGACATTTACATGTATATGTATATATATATATGTATATGTATATGTGTTTGCTCATGCATATCCATATGTATTTGCACTTGTATATGTATATGTACATGTTTATGTATATGTATATATATGTATATGTATTTGTCTATGTCTATGCACACGTATATGTATATGTATATGTCTATGTATATGTATTTGTATTTGTATATATATATATATATTTGAATATGTATATGTATATGTTTATGTACATGTATATGTATATGTATATGTATATGTATACGTGTATGTATATATATATATGTATGTAGATGTATATGTATATATGTATGTGTATATGCATATGTATGTGTACATGTATATGTATTTGTATATGAATTTGTATATGTATATGTATATGTATATGTATATGTATTTGTATTTGTATATATATATGTACATGCATATGTTTGTGTATATGTATATTTACATGCATACGTATAGGTATATGTATGTGCATGTGTATGTGCATGTGTATGTGTATGTGTATGTGTATGTGTATGTGTATGTGTATGTGTATGTGTATATGTATATGTATATGTATATGTATACGTATGTGTGTGTGTGTATGTGTGTGTGTGTGTATATATATATATATATATATATATATATATATATATATATAGGTGTGTTTTTATGTATAATTATGTATACAACTTAAGAGTGCAGTGGCTTTCGGCCCATCCCGCGACCGCACTTTGTTTGTAGGCCAGTAGGCCACAAGCCTCTTGGATACCTGTCGGGATCTCTTGGGGGGCCTCTCGGGAGCCTCCTGGAGGCGGTCGGGGGTCTCTTGCGGGGGCTCATTGGGCCTGATTGGGCTTTTTGGGGGTCTGCTAGCAGTCTCGGTGTTCATCTTGGGGCGGAGGGCTCGAAATGTCAGATCGCGTTCCTTGTCAGGGGGCCCTCACAGGGCCGTCTTGGTGGCTTCTTGGGCCGTCCTGGGGCCGTTTGGGGGTCCTCTTGGGCCGTCTGTGGGGGCCCTCTGGGGAGCCTCGTGGGTCGCCTTGGGGCGATCTCAAGGGCCTCTTGGGCCGTCGGTCGGAAGTCCTAGAGGGCGACAACGACCAAATCCTTCCCAAATCTATGTGAAATCAAGTGAAATCACTGATTTGGCCCCTTGGGGTCATCTTGGGGGGCCTCGTGGGGCCCTATGAGGGTGTCTTGGGGGCCACTTGCGCCGTCTTGAGCCATCTTGGGGATCTTGGAGCCGTCTTGGGCCGACTCGAGACCCTCTTGGACGGTCTCGGGGCCTTTTGGGGCCCTCTTACCCCGTAGTGGGGCCTGCTTGGCTAAAGCAAGTTGCGCGAGAACGCGCCCCAGCACGCGTCCGGCACTTTGGGGTCCGGGCCCTTTAATATACGCAAGTTGAGGACAAAAATTTTGAAGGACCTGAGGACATTGAAATTCGTACATCAGGATACGGTAGCGGATATCGTAAGGGGCGGAGCCTTCTACGCGGCATCCCACAAATCCCTTCTCAGTCTGCCAAGCCTTTGTTCATGCCTTCTACATCCCTAGGACGAAAGTGTTTTCTTTTTCGGCCTGGAACGACGATTTGAAGTTTTGAGCAAACGAGTATGAGATAACCGCCGTGGGACCAAATTAAGTTCGCGCGGATCCAATGTTGGTTTTGGTTTCTGTTTCGGTGGATCCGACTTCCGTCCGCATGGATCCGATCTTGTATTTTCTGGGTCCGCGTCCGGTACCATTTTTTATGGCGGATCCGATTTCTCTTTTATTGAATTAATCGGGGAACCGGAAGAAATCGGATTTGCGGACCCCAGAAATCGTCCGTGGTAAGATTCTACGGGGGAGGGGGTTCGGCCATCAACTTCCCAAGATGGGTCTTGCGCTGTCTCGCGCACTCCCACCAACTTTCGGCGCGCACGGGCCCCACTCAACCTGAATACATATTTGCCCTCCTGGTTGCTGTACGCAGTTTGTCCGGACGCCGTTCGTTCGGCGGCGCCGATGTTATCTCGCGAACTCCTCATCGCCATTTTAACCTCAAGAGGAAAATCTGTCGTCCTGCGTATGTAGTGGTCTTTTTTTCCAGGCCCTCGTATCAGGCTTGGCACAATGTCTTCGGAATCGACCTTGCAGATTGCGTTTTGTTACATGCCTTAGCAGCCTCCTCCTGCGCCTTCTAAGATATGTTTTCTCCAGCCTTCTACCATCCATTCATTCATGGGGAGGGTTTTACTCGGTCTTATATTTGGCTTACCATTAGGTCTTCCACTGAACTTTCCACTTCGCTTTCAACGATGGATTCTGCTAAGCCTTCCACGCGAGGCCCCTTCAAGGCCGTCTAGAAGGCCTCCTCCGTGTTCTTTCACGTTTTCCGCTCAAGATCAGCCTGTCAGCGGCGTCATTTTGGTTAGTGGCTTTGGCCCATTTCGCCACCGTGCTTGGTGCGCGGGCCAGAGGCGTATTGGATGGCTGTCGGACTGTGGGGACGCTTCTCGGGGAAGTGTTTTTAATTTGGGGGGGGGGCCTCTTGGAGGTCTTTTGGTGTTTTTCACGACCTCATGTGCATTTTGGCGGCATGTTCGGGATCTTTGGGGGCATCTTGGGGGGAAGCACCCGCGGCCCATTCGGCTCCCCCTTCTGACCCCCTCTTCGGCGCCTTGGGGGGCGTCTTGGGCCGTTTTCGCGGGCTCATGGGCCTCATTGAGTACTTCCTGGGGCGATCTTGGAGGCCTCTTGGGCTGCCTTGGGGTGTCGGAAGCCCGAGATGGCAAAACCGATGTAATCATTTCAAAGAATTGTTGTTTTTCTCCACATCCAGAGGGGGTTCACACACTATCATTTTCATAACAGCATCAGCCTTCTCATCATTCACAACAGCTCCTCATGATTCATTAAATTACTTTCACCATCATCATCAGTCAAGCACATCCATCACACACGATCAATCTCCCTCGCACTCAACTCACCATTATCATCACCATCATCATGAATAACCCCTCGCTCATTATCATCGTTTCGTCATTACCTTCATCACTTTCACATCATCATCATCATCATTATAATCATCATCATCACCATCATCATCACCATCATCATCATCATCATCATCATCATCATCATAATCATCATCATCATCATCATCCCCATCATCACCACCACCACCATCATCATCATCATCCTCACTATCAGCATCGTCAAATTCATCATCATCATCATCATCATCATCATCATCATCATCATCATCATCATCATTATTATCATCATCATCGGCATCATCATCATCACCACACTCGTCATCATCGGCATCATCATCATCATCACCAGCATCGTCGTCGTCATCATCATCAACATCAGCATCATCATCATCATCATCAGCGTCTTTAGCATCATCGTTATCATCACCACCATCAGCATTTTTACCATCGTCACCATTCTACTCACACACATACGTCCATCTTAAGGAAATCTCGTGCGGGAGCTTCGTCTGTGAGTGAATTGCGATGAAGTCTCAGGCGGGAGCCCCCTCTCTATAGGGCCCGCAGATCATGTTACTAATCCGAGCGGGTCATCCGAGTCATGTAACTGTCGTATTTTTCGGACCCCTGAGCCTTGACTATCGAGAAAGTCTCGTGCGGGAGCTTCGTCCTTGAGTCGGGAGTGCCCTCCCTAAGGGTCCCGCAGATCATGCCACTCATCCGAGCGGGTCATCCGAATTCTGTAACTGTCGTCACGTCTGGGCCTGCGCCAGGGCGAGAAGGATGAAATAACGCAGAGGACACAGTAAGGGCGCCTGACCAATCTAGATTAGGCGAGAGGATTTTGACGTGGGTTCCTACCGTCGGAGAAATTGTTGAAGCACTTGGTTTGACATGTCGGAAGCCTGTTTGGGGTCCTTTCGGAACCCTCTTGGGGCGGCTCGGGAGTCTCCTGGGTCGTCTTGAGGCCGTCTTGGATCGTCTCGAAGCGCTCTGGGGCCGTCTCGGGACCCTCTTGGACCGTCCTGGGGCCCTCCGGGTCCCTTTGAGTCCATCTTGGGGCTCTCGGACCTGAAAGTCTTGCGGGGCGCTCCCAGTAGATCCAGCGGACCTGATCACACTCCACTTTAGCCTAGCGACACGGTGGAGGATAGGCCCGGTACCGTGTGTCCAACCAGGCCCTCTTCGAGACATTCTCTTCCTGTGCCGCCTAAAAGGCCTTCTTCTGCTCGGCACTGAGGCGTCCACTAAGCCTCGCACCCAGCTTTCTATCATGCCTTTCACATCGCTTGCCAACATCCCTTCATTGGGCTACTGGCCCTTCTACTATGTTCCCCCCGCAGGCCTTCTGCTACTCCCCCTTCTCCTCATAGGCATTCTAGAAGGTACCATTTGAGGTATCCTTCTTGGTCTCTCTTACAAGTGCGCATGTTTGTAGGCCTTCTTCTGTGCCTTCCACTAAGCCTTCTGCTAGGCTGGCTGTCTAGCAGTCGTACTCCTCGGCCTTCTCCGTCTCCGTTTTTTAGAAGGTCTCGGCGTGCGCCGTCTACTGAGCCATTCACGTGGCACCTCCAAGCGTGCGACGCCAGCCCTTCGCCATTTTGCCCCAGGCGGGGCTGAGAGGATTTTTCGGCACGCGCTGCCGCCTGCGCCTGGGGCTCCACGAACACAGATGTTAGTGGTCCCCTGGGTGGCGTAAGCTGGGATCTTCTGGGCTGGCGGTTTGTATCCAAACGGAGTCCGAGGGGGGCGGCAGTTGAACGGCTGGAGGTGTGGTAGGGGGTGGTGGTGGTGGTGGGGAGTGGAGGAGGAATAGGACAGGAATGTGAGGGGAGCGGCGGCATATGACAGGGAAAATCATGTGCAAGCTGTTGACGTGGGAATAACAAGGTCTCCGGCGGGCCCTGCGTTTGCGACGCGCGCCGGATGAGTCGTGCAGCGACTACCTCCATCGTGCGACGGAACGCATCAAAATGTGGATGGCGAACTGGGGCCATAAGCCTACCCACGTTTCCGCGCTGACCACCTTGTTCGCAGAGGCGTACCGCGAGAATGATTCTTGCACCGAGTATGGGGCGCCACTGCTCAGCCAAGCACGCCTGTATACTTCGAGGGACTTCTGGGCTTTTGCGAAAGACGCGCCAACCAAGCGGCGACGATTAGAAGGACTTTTGCAACGGGCTGGTTGCCGCAGGGCAACATGGGAGGATCCGATTGTACAGTCTATGGGCTTGGAATGGCGCAGAAATCGAAGCAATCATACACAGTCACTGTGGAGTCTGCTTTCCGATGCTTCCGTGGCAGATGCTTGCGCCCGCTGGCATTTGCCGCTTCGCGATGGGCCTGACGACGTTAAATCTGTTCTGAAAACGCCCACGGGTGGACCAGGAGACGGAGTAGAAGTTCGGATGCCGAGGAGGGGAGTCGGAAGCATATGAATTGGTCGATTCAGTCGGTACGCGTATTGCATGGGCAACTCTGCAGAGACATTTTCTATACGTGACGGACCCGCAATCGTTGCAACAAAGTGGTGTGTGGCACCGACATGCTGCGCGACCTAATGTACGAGAGAACGCGTTTCACGGGCGCATGCTTTGGGAACATTCGGCGGCGCGTTTCGAACCGGGGGGAAGGCCTCCCCCGAACATTGGGCGCCGTCGATCAGAACCAGGGGGACTCCCCTCCCCCCTAACCCCTACTGTCCCCAAACACCCCCCTCCTCCCCCCCTCCCACAGGGCGGGCGGGGTTTCAAACCCCCCACCCCGCCCCGGGATAGGACTAGGGATTCTATCTCCCCCTACCTTTCTCTTCTGGCTTCCTGGGGGTGGGGGGGTTCGAACCGCCCCCCCCGCCCCCCTCATCCCTCGGTGCCGGTGCTGGCGCCTGCGCTGGCGGCAGCCAGCAGCACCAACGGTAAAACGCAGCGACGATGACCAAAGAGCCCAGAGGCCGCAGCGGGAAAATACAAATCTCCATATCAAGCCCTCTCCCCAAAAGCCACCAGGGACCCTCAGGAAGTTCCAGGAGACGCCCAAGAGGCGCCCTGGAGCCCTCACACATGCTCTTCAGACGTCCCCGAGACCCTTTTGACGAGACCCCAAAAGGCATCCATCAGAATTGTGACCCAAAGCCAAGACACGGTGGCGGGAAGACCCCAAGGCCACACCACTACCACCACCAACCCCACCACCACCACAAACCACCACCACAAACCACCACACCACCACCGCCATCATCACAACCGCCACCACCACCAACACCAACACAACCAGCACGACCTCCACCACCACCACAAACCATTAGACCACCACCACCACAACCGCCACAACCACCACAACCCACCACAACCCACCACAACCACAACCACCACCATAACCCACCACACCACCACCACCACAACCTACTACCACCACAACCCACCACCCACCACCACGTACCACCACACCACCACCACCACAACCACGACCGCCACCACCACAACCCACCACCCACCACCACCAGCAACACCTCTACCAGCACCAGCACCAGCACCACCACAACCACCACAAACCATCACGCCACCACCACCACCATAGCCACCACCGCTACCACCACCACCACCACCATAACCCACCACCACAAACCACCACACCCCACAATCGCTACCACCACAACCCCCCCACCCCACCACAACAACCACCACACAACACCGCCACCACCACCATCACCACCACCACAACCACCACCACCACCACCACAACAACCTACCACCACTACCACCACCACAATCCACCAAGCCACCACTACCACCACAACCACGACCACCAGTATCACCACCACACCCCTCCACCACCACCATCACAAACCACCACACCACCAGCACAAACCACCACGCATTACCCCACCACCACCACCACCACCACCACAAACCACCACACCACCACCATCACCGCCGCCACCACTACCACCACCGCCACACTACAACCACCACCACCACCGCCACCATCACCGCCGCCACCACCACCACCACAACCCACCACCACCACCACAAACCACTACACCACCACCACCATCACCACCACCAGCACCACTTTCACCACCACCCAGCACCACAACCACCACAACCACAACAAAACCACCACAGCTACCACAACCAACACCACCACCCCCACCACAACTCACCTCGCGCCACATCCATTGTCACCACCACAACCACCACGACAAACCAACACACCACCACCGCCACCAACACCACCACTACAACCCACCACCACAACTACCACCACCACCACCACCACCACCACCACCACCACCACAAAGCACCACACCACCACCACTACCGCCATCACCACAACCACCAAAACCACCACCCCACCATCACCACCACCACCACCACCACCCCACCACCACCACCACCACCACCAACCACCACCACACCACCACCACCACCACCACCACCACCACCCACCACCACCCACCACCACCACCACCACACCACCACCACCACCACCACCACCCACCACCACCACCACCCACCACCACCACCACCACCACCACCACCACCACCACCACCACCACCACCACCACCACCACCACCACCACCAACCACCACACTTTCACGACCACCACCTCCACCACCGCCACCACCACCACCACCTCAGAGAGGCCCGAGGAGACGCCAGCGCCGCCAGCCGCCGCCGACGCGGGCGCTGGCCCGAGGAGAGGGAGAGATGAAAAGTAGGGGAGGAAGCAGGGGAGGGGGGGGGTCGAACCCCCCCCCCTCCGTCACGGGAGAGGGGGGGGGTCGAACCCGCCCCCCCCCCTCAATCCAGGGAGGGGCGGGGCTTGGTTCCAGACCCCCGCCCCCCCCCTCCAAGCGTTCACAGAACGCGCTCTTTCTAACGTGCCAACCTCTCGTATCCCGAGTGCTGAGCAGAACTGCCGATCACATGGGCAATTGTTCAAGACCGCCACGCATTCACCAAGACCCAGTACAACCAGTACAGTAGTGGAGAAGATGCAGTAACAAAGTAGCGGACGGCCTGGCGAACTACACACCGGACGCTTGGAAAGCACGGCAGAATATGTTCACCAGCGCGATGTCTATCCAGAACGCCAACGTGGTAATCCAAACAGATGGTAGACTTCGTGATGGAGGTTGCGCAGCTGCTGCGTGGATTATCCGACTTTGGGGCGGGATCGACGGGCATTGAATTTATGAGCCGCCGATGGTGCACAGTATTTTCCTGGAGTTACCGCGCACAGCCCTCCGTGCTGAGTCCATTGCCCTGGACGAGGCTTCTAAAGCAGCCCGAGTTGTTCTCACCAAGCAGATTACGACAAGCTGAAACTGTAAGTTTCTTGAGCTTATACGAACGAATATATCATGAGGAGGGAAGAGGAGGATGAGGACTCAGAGGAAGAGGAGAGTGTTTCGGACCCAGTGCAAGTCTCTGCCTGATATTTCACTTGGTTTCTACTGCTGAGTTTGATGCCGCCATCGCCCACGGAGGTCTCGGTCTTCATCTATCCCTCGAGGATGCTCGAGCGCTTCTCCATTAACCAGACTTGTTGCATCAAGAGCTTGTCAAGGGCGTGATCGTATCAGATAGATATTCCCTTCGCCTCCGTCATTTGTCGCAGTGAATGCTAACGTCGATTGGCCCCTCAGTGAGGCGGGCGTGCAACTCAAACTTATCCGTGATAATTTATCAGCCGATCAACCGTGGTGCTTCAACGCAACGACCGCTGGTCAGCGGGGTAAAAAGGACGAAGTCGGGCCGCTTCCAAACGCAGTATATGCTGCTCGCGTGTCCTGCAATCAAGCTGCGCTCGCGATTGTATCCAGTGGACAGGACAGCGCAACGTCTCAATGTTCAATCGGGACGGTGTGCTGATTTCGGGGATGTGGTCCAGACCGTCTGCGCGCCGAGTTGGCGCCACTTGGCGCGCTTGTCTGCGATCGCGTCCCCGTTTGCAGTCCTCCTTTGCCGCCGTTTTCAGCCACAAGGGCGCACTGAGTTGAATAGCCTGCGCTGCCAAGGCTGCTGGTGTTCCACACGGCGGCACCGCCAGCGACAATTTCGTGAACAGGACCAGAGAAGGAAATGGAAAATGGGCGAGCGCCAGGACAACATACCGAGCCAGGAACAGTAGGGACTTGGGCTGCCGAAAGAAATATTAAGGCTTCGCGTATCACCACCGGCCCAGTCAGATCCCTGCTCATGAGAGCTGAGACACATATTGTGGAACAGCGTGGCCAACGTGGGTGAACATAGCTCTGGGAACAAGGGGGTGGCCTTGGAGGGCCTCTTCGGGCCATTCCTGGGGCCCGTGTGGGGGCGAGGGCAGGAGGAGGAGGATGAGGAGGAGAAGGAGGAGGATGAGGAGGATCAGGAGGATGGAGGACGGAAGACGGAGGAGGGCGACGACGATGATGATGACGACGACGAGGACGACGATGATGACGATGACGACGACGAAACCGACGACGATGGCGACGACGATGACACCGACGATGATGACGACGGCGACGACAAGGAGGAGGAGGAGGAGGACGACGACGATGACGACGACGAACACGACTACGAACATGACGAGGACGACGACAACAACGACGACGAGAAAGAGGAAGAGGAAGAGGAAACGGAAAAGGAAAAGGATGACGATGAGGGCAAGGACGAGGACAAGGACGAGGAGGACGAGGAGGAGGAGGAGGAGGTGGAGGAGGAGGAGGAATTGGAGGAGGAGGAGGACAACGAGGACGAGGACATAGCCCTCAAAATCGCCTCTTGGAGTCCTCTTGGGACTCTTTCGGGCGATCTTTGGGTCCTCTTTGGGCTCTTTCGGGGGGTCCTCTTGGGGCTGTTTCGCGGGGTCTTGGTGCCCTCTTGGGGCCTTCTTGGAGCCCTCTTGGGGGTCCCTTGCGAGCCCTGGAGAGCTACCTTGGAAGCCATCGATCAAAAGGGGGGGTTCCTTGATTTGACCCCCACCCACCCCCCTCTGATGCCATCCATCATAATTGTCTCTTGGGGCCCTCTTAGTACGCTCTCGGGCCGATCTTGGGCGCTCTTGGGTCCGTTTTTTGGGCCCCTTGGGCCCGCTGTTTGGGCTTTCTTCGGTTATCCTGGCACAGTCTTGAGGCGTTAAAAGCGCATCGGAAGCGAACATCATTGATTGCGAAGGCCTGACGGCCGGTGCCGCCGACCCTGTTCGCAATGCGCAGCAAGAGGCACGGGCTGTGGGATGGTTTGGGGGAACGGGGAGAAGGACGAGAAGGTGGGGGAGGGAGGTGTCGTATCTGACCCGGGACTTCCCCGGGACTCCCCCGGGACCCCCCCCGGGACCTCCTCTCCCCCCCCCGTCGGGGAAGGGAAAGGGAAGGGGCTTCCCTTCGACTCAATGACGACGTTGCTCAAGGTCGGTACGGGGGGGGGGCGTCGTATCTGACTCGGGGGGGGGGTCGCTACCCCCCCCGCTACCCCCCCCCCCCTCCCGGCGGGGGAGGAATGAAAGGGAAGGGGCTTCCCTTCGACTCAATTACGAGGTTGCTCAAGGTCGGCTTGGCTGGAGCCCAGGGGAAGAGGAGTCCCAGGGGGGGGCGTCGTATCTGACCCGGGGGGGGGGTCGCTACCCCCCCCCCCTCCCGGCGGGGGAGGGATCAAAGGGAAGGGGCTTCCCTTCGACTCAATTACGAGGTTGCTCAAGGTCGGCTTGGCTGGAGCCCAGGGGAAGAGGAGTCCCAGGGGGGGGCGTCGTATCTGACCCGGGGGGGGGGTCGCTACCCCCCCCCCCCTCCCGGCGGGGGAGGGATCAAAGGGAAGGGGCTTCCCTTCGACTCAATTACGAGGTTGCTCAAGGTCGGCTTGGCTGGAGCCCAGGGGAAGAGGAGTCCCAGGGGGGGGCGTCGTATCTGACCCGGGGGGGGGTCGCTACCCCCCCCCCCCTCCCGGCGGGGGAGGGATCAAAGGGAAGGGGCTTCCCTTCGACTCAATTACGAGGTTGCTCAAGGTCGGCTTGGCTGGAGCCCAGGGGAAGAGGAGTCCCAGGGGGGGGCGTCGTATCTGACCCGGGGGGGGGGTCGCTACCCCCCCCCCCCCTCCCGGCGGGGGAGGGATCAAAGGGAAGGGGCTTCCCTTCGACTCAATTACGAGGTTGCTCAAGGTCGGCTTGGCTGGAGCCCAGGGGAAGAGGGGGGGGGGCGTCGTATCTGACCGCTAGGGCGGGGGAGGGATCAAAGGGAAGGGGCTCCCTTCGACTCAATTACGAGGTTGCTCAAGGTCGGCTTGGCTGGAGCCCAGGGGAAGAGGAGTCCCAGGGGGGGGCGTCGTATCTGACCCGGGGGGGGGGTCGCTACCCCCCCCCCTCCCGGCGGGGGAGGGATCAAAGGGAAGGGGCTTCCCTTCGACTCAATTACGAGGTTGCTCAAGGTCGGCTTGGCTGGAGCCCAGGGGAAGAGGTCTCCCAGGGAAAGGGAAGGACAGAGACGACGAGTACAAAGAATGACGGAGATGACGGCTCGAACGGAGAAGCCCCTCACACACGCCGACAGGGTCGGCGGATTTTCTATACGGCTCGGATTTTGGCCCCTTGGGGGGAGGGCCCTGAGGGGGCTCCGAGAGCACTTGAAACCATACTCGTCAGACCATCTTAGCCCAAAGGGCTGGTTGAATTGACGAGCTCCAGGGGCCGTTCTGTTGACAATGGGTATCAATCATTTCAGTGCAAGCTTTATGTGAAGTCATCCGTGCACGCATTGTCGCGGGTCTCCTCGGCTGTATCTCGCCTCCCCTTTCCTCCTTCCTTTTGATGGAGCATCTGCGGATGAGATGGCGTTTGCACGTTCTCCTCATTTCCCGACGTTTGTCGCTCGTCGTCGTCGTCGTCGCCGTCGTCGCCGTCGTCTGTCGCACGTCCTCGTCTTCGTCGTCGATGTCGTCGTCGTCGTCGTCGTCGTCGTCGTCGTCGTCGTCGTCGTCGACGTCGTCGTCGTCGTCGTCGTCGTCGTCGTCGTCATCGTTCTTCGTCGTCGTCGTGTTCGTCGTTGTCGCCTTCATCGTCGTTGTCGTCGTCCTCCTCCCAATGGGAAGTTGCTCCTAGAGTGTCCTCCTTCTTTTCCTCTTGTTCCCCAAACAAGATTGCCGACCGGGGTTCTGTTGTGACAGAAGCTAGTTCTGGCCGAGGGAGGCTGGAGCAGAGACATAACATTTTTTATTGTCCAGGCCGTTTCGCCGGAGAAATCCTCACAACTCTCGTTTCCGAGTTGGCCGGAATTGGGCGTTTCGCCTGAGACATCTTCGAAATTCTGAGCTGCGAGGTGCTGCCCGCGAGGTGGTCCAGAACGTTTCGCCTGGGATATCATTGCAACTCTGGGCTCCAAGATACTGTGAGAGAGGTGGTCTGGCCCGTTTCGCTTGAGACATCCTCGCAACTGTTGGCTCCGAGATGCTGCGCGCGAGGTGGTCTGGCACGTTTCGCCTGAGACAACCTCGAAACTGTGGGCTCCGACAGGGAGGAGGGAGGCGGGAGGATGGATCAGATGGACCCAAACGAACCGCGCTCTGGGAGGGGTCTGGGTACCGCCTGAGCCTCGCAATTCTGGGCTCCAAGATGCCGCGCGCGAGGTGGTCTGGCCAGTTTCGCTTGAGACATCCTCGTCTTTCTGGGCTTCGAGATGCTTTCTGAGTTCCACGTGACGTGTGTTTCACACCCGTTGCTGTCTTCGCTCTGGAGCATGCGAATTCGGAACTGTAATCGAGGGTCTGCAATCTGGTAAGTCAAAAGGAGGTGGGCAATATCAACAGCGAAGCCTGATCTATCAATCAATACTCAATCCGGAAGACACGCATACCACGAACATGATTACGTTCGAGAGGACGAACGGCTTGAGCTGAAGTTGGTGCTGGGCTGGAGCTGGAGATGGAACTGGGCTTGGGTTGAACCTGGGCTGGCTCCGAGACTGGAGCTGG